AACCACACTTGATTATGCTCACTTTAAGGTAAACAAATCTTTCTGCAACCCACATCTTCAGTTCTTCAGGGCAACAATTGACAGCAAAGTTTCTTCCCCAAAATGCAGGAACAGAGCATGGCTGTCAAGGCCTTCCCACTGGTAGTCCTGGGATCTGACCTGAAAGCAGTATTTTATCTCCTTGTGACTGCAATTGGACATGCTCATTCTCACTCCCTGCTGCCAATCACTTCAATATATCATGGCCTCTCCTTATGGTCTTTTCCTTCCAAACTTGGGAGATTTCTGAAGTAAAGCTATGTGTCCTCTTTATAAAAGAAACTGATCCACTGTGGGTCAGAACTTTGCTTTCTCACTGATCCAATTCGTGATGGGTGTGTTGAGACCTGAGCAGAGGGAGGAGTGACTCACCCATGGCAGCCAGTGGTGAGGGAGCACTGTGCTCATATAGCACTTCATGATCTTTGAAGCATTTTCCTGTCTCACATCTCCCCCGCCCTCCCCCAAAGCCAGAGCTCACAAATTCAAATAGGACATGCTATGGCTCCCATGGGGAGCTCTGGTAGCATAGTGCCTAAGGCACTTGACTGCTAACCAGAAGGCTGGCGGTTCAAGCCCACCAGCCACTCCTCGGAAGGAAGATAGGGCAATCTACTTCCATAGTGATACTGCCACGGAAACCCAAGGAGGGGTCGCTATGAGTCGGGTCGACTTGACAGCACGTAACAACAACAACAACAACAACATGGCTCCCATGATCCTGAAGACCTTTTAAGGATATGACAAATCTCATTATATGTTAAGAGAGAAAAGCTGTTTGCACAATTTGATGACATATATGTATATGAACTATATACTATTCAGTAAATGTTTATATGTCCATAAACTGGGGAGGGGGGCAGTTGCTGCTAAGTCCAACTCGTGTGCAGAGTGGAACTGCATTCCGTAGGGTTTTTGAAGCTGTGACCTTTCAAGATTTCTAGGCCGTACTTCCAAGGCACCTCTAGGTATGTTCATTCCCAAACTTTTCAGTTACTAGTCAAGGGCTTACCTGTTTGCGCCACACAGGAACTCATGATATGCTCACAGAAGCTGTCTTATTGAGGGTAGAACAATTCATTATCCCTATTTCGTTGGAAACTTTTTCTATATGGAATGCGCTTTCCTCTTCAAATGGGGAAAAGACTATAAATTTTATTTATTTTTAGTTTTGGATGGGGCAGAGGTGAGGGACACCTTTTTGGTTTAATCGTACTTCATAGGTACATTATCATTAGTTTAAAAATAACATAAAAAAGAAATCCTGACTGCTATATCCACTAGAGGGCACTCTTCTTAAATTTTAACCGCTTGTGAAGCTGAAGATTTGGAAAGGAAGTTTTCATAGCTTCCTAACAATCCACTTGGGGGATTCTAAGCCTATGTATTTGTTTACTTATTTAGCTTGAAATAAAATTTTATTTTGGAATAATTTCAGATTTACAGGAAAGTTGCAAACATAGTACAATGAGTTCCTGTATAACCTTAGCAGTTTCCCCTGATGTTAACAACTTCCATAACCATGGTTACATTTGTCAGGACTAAGAAATTCACATTGGCCCATCACTATTCACTGAATTACAGGCTGTATTTGGATTTTACTGGCTTTTCCACTAAAGTTCTTTTTCAGTTCCAGGATCCAATTCACAATACCACATTCATTTTATAGTTTTTTTTTAACAAACAAACAAATACAACACCCTACTCACTGTGGTAACCAAAAATTACCACTTATATTTTGCATGACTATAAGCATCTGCAGTTTTTAAAGAAAGGACAGGTTGGCTTTTTTTTTTTTTTTAATCTCTTTTTATTTCCCTTACATTTGTAAAAAAAGTTTCTCAGCTTTCCCAGCCCCCACCTTATGCTGTCTATATGTCTGTCTTTGCAGTGTGTATGGAAATGTCATTTTTAGTAATTTTGTGTCGCCTTCAATGCACCTGCCTTTTTGTAGTTTAAATCCTCCCCCCACCCCAACATGGATTGTTGTTGTTGTTGTTATGTGCCATCGAGTCGGACCTGACTCATAGCGACCCCTCCCTGGGTTTCCAAGGCAGTATCACTACAGAAGTAGATCGCCCCATCTTCCTTCCAAGGAGTTGCTGGTGTGTTTGAACCACCAGCCTTCTGGTTAGCAGTCAAGTGCCTTAGGCACTATGCTACCAGAGCTCCCTAAGAAGAATAATGCTAAGGAATTATTAATTTTGTATAATGTAGGATCACAATGAGTTCTGGTAGCGTAGTGCCTAAGGCACCTGACTGCTAACCGGAAGGCTGGTGGTTCAAACCCACTAGCCACTCCTCGGAAGGCAGGTTGGGCAATCTACTTCCGTAGTGATACTGCCTCGGAAACCCAAGGAGGGGTCGCTATGAGTGGGGTCTGACTCGATGGCACATAACAACAACAACATGAGTGGGAATTGATTCAGTGGCAACTGGTTAATATGACATTGTGCTTATGATTAAAAAGAAGAAATCCTCATCTGTGAGATACATAATAAAATATTTGCCAATAAAATGATTTATTTTAAAATACCTCTGCAAAAAAAAAATGGGTGGGGGAGATAGATAACTAAAGCGGAATGAGTTCATGAGTGTTCATTATATTATTCTTTGTGTGTGTGTGTGTGTGTGCACGCATAACTGAAAATATTATAATTTGGGTTATTTAAAATAAAATTAAAAAAATTGAACAGTAGAGGTTTTGTTTTAATGTAATAATAACCCCCAAGTACTATAGACTGCTCAAATTGGCGGCTACTCCATTTAACAAAACTTTCCTAGACCAGGAGGACTTTTGTGTCAGAAATATATGTCTCCCAGGCACTGTGTGAAGATGCTTTGGTGGCAAACAGTGAAGTATTCGGCCATTAACTGAAAAGTTGGAGTTCGAACCCACTAGCCTCTCCAAGGGAGAAAAGACTTAGCAGTCTGTTCTCGTAAAGATTATAGCCTAGGAAACTGTGTGTGGGCAGTTCTGCTTTGTCATATGGGGTTGCTATGAGTCTGTGGTGCAGTGAATTACTTAATATGACCCTTCTAGTCATAGTCTTGTAATACTCCCACCAAATCTACGTAAGTAAGATGCTTGTGGCCCACCAAGGGGATTGGATAGCTTGTTAATAGTACAAATAAAGTACATAGCACTCTTGTGTGGCCAGGACCATGAAAATAAGATGTATGGAACCCTAATGAGGGGATTGGTCATTGTTGCCCTTTCATTGGCTTAGAAGAGAGCCAGTTCCCAAGGAGAGAAGGGACTTCATGTCCACCAAGAAAGAAGAGCCAGGAGTGGGGCATATCCTTCAGACCCAGGGTTCCTGTGCTGGGAGCCTCCTGGACCCAGAAGACAGAGCAATAGAGATGTAACACTGGAGAGACAGTGAGGAACAGTGACAAAGAGACAGCAGCAGCAGAGGCAGCGAGAACCAGGAGGTGGGCTTCCCAGCCCAGACAGTGAGAGAGCTAAGTGCTTTCAGGCAGCAAGCTTGCTGGAGGAGAAGAGTGCCTCCAGGTACCTATCAGTAGAGCTAAAAGAACTTTGTAACACTTAGCTGAGCAGAGCAGAGTCCAGGCAGGCCTAGGAGGCTCCTCAGGGCCGAGGACAGGGAAGGACAGGGAGAGGACTGCCGGCAGCACAGGTGAGAAGAGGCTGTCCTGATCAAAGAACTGTGTCCTGAATTGTTATTCCCGTTCTGAATTATAACCAGTTACTTCTCTAATAAGCTCCATAATTGTGAGGATTGTCTGTGAGTTCTGTGTGGCCATTGCAACTAAATTACCAAACCCAGCGGAGAAGCAGAAAGTGCCATGGGAGGGACAGCTGGTGTCAGAAGTGGTAGAAAGGTTGGAGGGTGGCAGCATGTCTGACCTCCACCTCACAAGAATCAGCTTTGGGCTGATGCAGATTGTGATCCCCCTTCCCCCTGATGAAGTTAAACAAGGAGGTCAGACGCCTCCACCATGCCATTTTAACAGAGTCAGAATCAACTCGATAACACACAACAACAGCAGGCACTGTGTGAGGTGCCAGAGGAACAAGAGCAGACCAGGGAGCCCGCCCTTCAGGCATAGTTGAGGTTTGGGGTGGGACCAACCATGCAGTAAATGCTGATTCAACATGAATCTTGGCTGGTAACAAATACCCCGTATTGGCAAGGTGAGGATTTTATTTGCATCTCTCTTTATTAGTTTTATGGGTTTGAGTTGACTCATGTCAGCCATGTGGTTAGTAATTGGGAGATTTATCATTATTACTCCTTGTCTTAGTTATCTAGTGCTGCTATAACAGACATACTACGAGTGGGTGGCTTTGACAAACAGAAATTTATTTTCTCACAATTTTATAAGGCTAGAAGTCTGAATTCAGGATGCCAGCTGTAGGGAAAGGCTTTCTGTCTGCCGGCTCTGAAGGAAGATCCTTGTCTCTCTGAGTTGCTGCTCCTGGATGATCTTCACGTGCCTTGGCCTCTCTCTTCCTGTCTCTGCTTCTTTTGCTTGCCTGTTTAATCTCTTTGATATCTCAGATGAGATTGATTTAAGACACACCCTAAGTGTTACTGCCTCAGTCACATAACCAAGACAACCCATTCCCAAATGGGATTATAACCACAGGCATAGAGGTTAGGATTTACAACACATTTTGTAAATGTAAGAGGGGGGGCACACAATTCAATCCATAACACTCCTAATAATAATAATTTCTAATAATAGTTATTTTAAAATCCCTGTAGACTATAATTTCCCAAGGACCTGCAGCCTTTCATAATTATCATAATTATTCTGTTGCTCCTTTAACTAAATTGTAACCTATTGTAGCTGCTGCCTGCCTGCTTGCTGAAGTCAGCTGTTCCTGGGGCCTGCCTCCTGGCTAACTGGCTGGCACTGAGCTCTGCGCTGCTCTGTGATGGTGGCAAAATATATCCGACACTTTTCCTATCTTTTTTTTTTTTACTCTGCAGCAGAAGTATTGGGAGGCCCTAAACTCAGAGCAGGTATGGATAATCATGCTGTCTCTTTATTCTAGGAGAGACTTCCTGTGGCTTGATGTCAGCTCCTGTTTGTTTGTTTGCTCTGAATCTCTCAGTGTGACTTTTTCAAGACCTGGAGAAGAAGTAGACATCTTTGGAGATGACTGGGCTCTTTCAACTAATGAAATATTGGTTTCATATTGCATGCTCTCTTTTTTTTATAATTTCATTTTTTTATTATGGTTGAGAATACACACAGCAGAGCATACACTGATTAATGGTTTCTACATGTACAATTCAGTGATATTGATTACATTTTTTGAGTTGTGCAACCATTCTCAGCCTTCTTTTCTGAGTTGTTCCTCCCTCATTATCATAAATTCACTGCCCCCTCAGTTTCCTATCTAACCTTTCAAGTTGCTGCTATCAATTTGATCCCATATAGATACATCTTAAAAGAACATAATGCTCAAGGCAGACATTCTTAACTAGGCAATAGTTACTAGCTTTGGGAGTTCATCTAGTGTCCTTGGTTCCAGAAAATCAGGAGTCCATGGAAATTTGAAATCGTTTGACATTTCCCCCCTTTTGATCAGGATTCTTCGATAGAATCTTTGACCAAAATGTTCAGTAATGGTAGCCAGGTACTATCCAGCTCTTCTGGTCTCATGGCAAAGGAGGCATTTGTTCATGGAGGCAGTTAGCCACACATTCCATTTCCTTCTCCTATTCCTATTAATTGCATTGATTAAGGGTAGGGTTTCACAGCCAACTAATATAATTGTTGTCAATAAGTTGTACACCTGTAAAAAGTTGAATTGGCAAATGTTGTGTGATAGATACTTTTATAGTGACAAAAAGAAAAAAAGAGCAACTACTGAGGCTGCTTATGTTCAACCAAACACCTTATGGAGTTTGGTTCCTTTGTTTGAAGATTTAGGATGATGGTTTCATGGGCCCCCAGTTGCTTGGCCTAATACCAGTTTAGTACTTCTGTTCTGCCTCCTAGTTCATTGTTTAGTGCCTGGGGTCGTAAAATCTTGCAAGCAGCTATCCAAGGCACAACAATTGGTCTCTATTTGCCTGGAGCAACAGAAGAAGATGGAGAGTCAGTTCCTGTTTTTATTAGACTTGACAGCACATAACAACAACAACAACCTGGGTCAAGGGACCCATGCCAAATTCCTTTAGAAAAAAAGAATATAAAGGCAAGAGGCAAGTCTGAGGATCAATGGAATTTTCAGCACTCTCTTTCTCCTTTGCAGAAAGCAGTTCTTTCTGCTTTGGGGATTTTCAGATTAGTCCAAATCATCACGTAGGGACTCAGAGAAGATACATAAGCCAAAGAAAAGACATGGTTTGGAACAAAAGTCTGAACAAACTGAGTAACTGCAGGTTAGCAATGGTGGTAGTGTTGGGAGCGGCTGCAGTAGTTGTTGAAATCAATGTTCCCACCCACTGTCAGTCTGAGGCCTTGGGCAGCTGGCTACTGACTCCAGGCCACTCTTCCTCTAAGTGACAGATAAGTGCATGTTTTAAGACAACCACCAGTGCCTGCCAGCTCCCAAGATTGTTTCTGATACAAAAGGAGATATCTTTTCTTACATTGTCTTTATGCCTGCATCCCAGCAATATTTTTTTAACACCTAATAATGGGAGCTCTGGTAGCGTAGTGCCTAATGCATTTGACTGCTAACCAGAAGGCTGGGGGTTCAAATCCACCAGCCACTCACTCCTTGAAGGAAGATGGGGCAATCTACTTCCGTAGTGATATCGCCTTGGAAACCCAAGGAGGGGTCGCTATGAGTCGGGTCTGACTCCACGGCATATAACAACAACAACAACAATGAGATTTTTAAACACATTATTCTGGGGATTCTGAACTTTTGAAATGTTTTGTAAGGCTTAAAGCGCTTCAAATAATTCACTTGGTGAAGGTGGACGGTTGTGTCTGTTTGTAGGCAGCTGAATTGGTTAGGACTGGAAGAATCAGTGGAGGAGCTAGAGCAGTGGTTCCCAAACTTGACAGCATCTGAAAATACCCTGCTCAGAAGGATGCACAGGACTAGACAGTGTTGCATTCTGTTACACATGAGTCAGAGATGACTCCATGGCAACTAACAACAACAACAAAGAATCACCCACAGAGCCTGTTACAATGCCATACCTTAGGTTCTTACCCACAGATAGGGACTGGGGTGGGCTCCTGACATCAGCCTTTCTAACGAGCAGCCTGAGTGCTTCTGGTATGGCTGATGCACAGCACAGTCTTAGAATTGTGATTTATAACATGGGCCTTGGCTTGGAAACAGCATCCATCACACCATTCCTCCTCAGAGAACAAAACAGGCCCCTCATTCTGCCCTTGCGCAAGTTGAGTCCTATAGGCTGAGAGGCCAGGCTGGCTTTTTTACTTGAACTTTTGATAATGTCAGGAAGGATTTGGTGACAGGTGTGCAACCACATACAAGTGAGAAGTTAGTATCTGAATTGGCTGGCACAGCCCCAACAGGTACAGGAGCAGCTGAGAGCTGTTGAACCAAGTCGGCTTAATGCCTGTCCTGCAGGGTCATGGGAGATGAGATGGCCTTTTATACATGACACACTTTTTCAATTACCAATTAGTAGAACTCAGTTATTATCAGTAAAGCACTAAGTGGATTGGGTTCATTCTGTGTTCAAAATTGGTGTTTGACAGTTGACATGGTGAGGGCATTGTTGGTCAGTGGCTCAGGGAGCCCTGAAGACCTTACCTGGGACCTTTAGGGGCTGAACTGTTTGATTCAGCTTAAGTCTGAGCAGCTGGTGGATATCTCTTATGTACACCCAGGTCTGTTTTCTTGCTCAAATACATCGTTCTGTTGTGGTCCAGGTTGACATATTATACATAGCTTTTGCTTATTGTTTCCTGGCTCTTTCAGAATTGTCACATGTGACCTTATGGCTCAGAATCATCAGTCATAGCAACTCAGAAATGGAGGAGATTTATTATCTTGTTACTGATCCGGTGCCACTACTTACACATGGGGAAACTGAGACCCAAAGAAGCAAAAGATTGCACTGCAAGTTGGTGACAGAAGGAGAACTTGAGCCTAATTCCCACTTGCCTCCATGGTTGGAATTTCAAAGGAAGCACACAAGATTCCCTTGTCCTTGATCCCTGTGTAAAATTCCCTCTCTCATCTGTCATATTGGAACAATAGAAAGATTTTGCAAATAGCTTCATTAATGCTTGCGTGCCCACTTTTTTTCCCCTAACGTTTCACTCCTACTTCTACAAATTTCAATTTTTCATACTTAGTTGAGGCTATAACCATGAAATAGGTTGTGTTTATTTTTGACTTGTTTACTGAATCTTGAGTTTACAGGAAACACCTTAGGAGGGGCAAGGCCAGACCTGTTCTGTTCCCTGCTGTTGAGGAGCTCATCATCTACCTGAGAGGACAAGGCAAATGCCTTGACCCAGAGAAAAGGCTGAGTTGTCCATGCTCAGCTGCAAATGACTGGCATAGGTAGTACAAAGAGAAAAGGTGATGAGAGCTCAGTAGGCTAAAGCAGTCAGGGGAGGCTTCCTGGAGGAGAAGGCACTTACCTGAGCCATAAAGAATAGGTTGAGTTTGTCTGGTCTTTTCCAGGAATGAGCTAGGCATGGAGGTGGGACTTCTTAGGATAAAAGGAACATGATTCAAACCCAATAGAGAAGGACTTGGTGAAGGCAGAGAACAGTGAAAAAATAGGGTAGGAATGGAAGTAGGGCTGGTCTGTTCCAGATGACTCTCCATTGACCCTTTGGTTTAAAGTTATACTTGCCCCTTATGCCCTAGAAATATGGGCCTGTTTAACCTGTCCTTACCTGTTTGTCCTTGTCTGTGCCTGAACCAAATGAGCCAGGATGAAGGTGGTGTTTGAGGGTAAGAATTTTAAGAGACGGGAAGGGTGCATTCCATGAGGGTACTATTTGTGTCTTTCCTTCACAGTGGGATCCTGAAGATGTGAACCTTGAAAGGAGCAAAGAAAACATGGAGATGCTCAGATCCCAGGCCCACAGGGGTTCCATGAGCCAATGGACTTGACCTCTAATGATTAACACCTTCTGGAGCCAGACCATCAGCACAGAACCCAACAAGGTCAGACTTTCAGCAGGAACTGAGCCGGGAATAACCTGCTGTGACACTTGTAGCAGACCTTTAAGCTGCTCGAGAGGCCGCCCAGGAAAGTGAGGAACCAAGAGCTGTCAGTGAGTTCACCTGGTCTACGTCACAGCACAAAGTGGAACTAAGACCTTGGATCCTGTGGACAGACCTGGATATGCCAAGTTTGTTCTGAAGATCAGAAGTTCACAGACCACTCTTGCATTGTAAAGATAAATCTTCATCTAAAGGACATTGGACTGACCATCTTTTCCTTTTTTCACTTTAGGCTCAACGATACCCTGAATACCTGCTTGTGCCAGAAATGAGTTCCTCTAACAAAGAGCTAGTGTATCTCAGCAGAGCCCCATTCCATAAGACTTGGCTAAGCCCAGAGATGAGAGCGGTGGGTCTTCATGGTGGTGGGCCTGGGGCGTGTACCCAGCAACTGACAGGACCTGGAGTCTGCCTTCTGGTCACCTACTTGACTTTTCTGCTGGAAGTTCTAGATAGGAGTTCTTGGGTCAACCAAGTGTTTCTGAGATCACTGGTATTGCAAGGGCAAGCAAGGCAAATTGCTCTAGGTACCAGGACTTCCTTCCACTTGACAAGGTGTGCGCTTGGCAGGGTTTGCAGGTAAAGGGATGCTTCAAGAGGTAATTGAAAGCATGCAGAGGGTAAGAGGTTAAGTTCAAGCAGAGTGAACTCCATTTTTGGATTGTTATTTTGATACTGTGGTCATGGGTGAGGGTAAGGGTGGAAGGAATGGGGGTAAGGTGGGAGGGAACACTGGAGTGAATAAAGCTTTACTGAAAGAATTAAAGTATCTCACTGTGGAGCACAGCAATAAGTCAATCCCAGCAAAGTCAAAGAAGTCTACCACAAGGAGAACTGGGAGAGATGCCAAGAAACACAGCTCGGCTCCTGGCTGGCCCACAGCAGCCTATCTGACTCGGCCACAACTGCCCACTTTCTCCTAAGGGGAATCCAAGTCCCAGCAGCAGGAAGGAGGGACCACCTCCTGGAAGCAGGTTGGCTCTGCAGGTCTCTGCATAGATCCTAATCCCCTGGGTAACCTTTGACCTAAAGGCACATTTCAAGCCACCTCATTTATCCCCTTTATCCAGACTTCTTTGGTCCCTGGTTGTCTCATAAGAGAAAGTATCCTAAGTCAACTTTGTTCTATGATCTTAATCACTGAAGCTGTACTTTGTGGGAAAAGGAAGATTTGGATGGGCCAGAGGAAGGGAATGGGCATTCCAACAGGTGAAATGGTATAGAGGATTGGAAGCTGGGAAGGGTGGAATCTAGCCAAGGAAGAGTCTGATGTGGCCAAAGTGGGGGTTGCTGCTGTAGGGGATGTAGAAGAGGTGGAAAAGAACCAGACGGTGGAGCCTAGGGAGTTAGTACTTGCTTCGGTGACCAAAGTAGCTGTGGAAGAACTGGAGTTGGTGCTGACTGACTTGCTTCAGGTAGACCACACCTAACGGACGAGTTTATCACCCCTAAGGTCACAGTTAGGAGCTCTGGTAGCATAGTGGCTAAAGCACTTGACTGCTAACCAGAAGGCTGGCGGTTCAAATCCACCAGCCACTCCTCGGAAGGAAGGTTGGGCAATCCTACTTCCGTAGTGATACTGCCTCGGAAACCCAAGGAGGGGTCGCTATGAGTCGGGGCTGACTCGACGGCACATAACAACAACAACAACAACAAGGTCACAGTTGCTCAGGAAGCAGAAGTGCACAGAGGTTCAGAATGAACATGGGGACCACCCATTGCCATCAAGTCAATTCTGATGAATAGTGACCCTATAGGATAAAGCAGAACTTCCCTCATAGGCTTTCCAAGGCTGTAAATCTTTACAGAAGCAGACTGCCTCATCTTTCTCTGGGTTTGAACCACTGACATTTTGGTTAGCAGCTAAATGTTTTAACCACTACACCACCAGAGCTCCTGAAAATGGAGACAGAGTATGCTTAACCTAAAGGGTATTGAGAGGTAATATCAGGGCAGGAAGAAGACTCATCTCATCTTTAGGAAAGCAGAAGGCATGAGGATAGAATGACGTCTTCCCTTTGGCACATCTCCCCTCCCTCAAGGGGGAATGGATCATGTTCCCTGGAACACAATATTGGTCGGATCCTGAAAGATATGGCCATTTATACAAGTCCATTAAATGATCTTGCTGGCTTTGAGGCAGCACAACTACTTGAGTCCCAGATACTGTCTCCTTGGATCCCACCCTCTTAGTCTCCTCTCTTCACCAACCAGTTCCTATTATGCTGATCCCTGTCATCCTGGACTAAAAACTGAGTCTCTTCATCCAAAGTGCATCATCAAACTGGGAATTTTGGAGCAAAGTTTGACCTCGATGAGAACCTGCCCATCAGCAAAGCTCTGGAACTGTGGAGCCTTTGCAAAGTGCTGCCAACCAAAATGCCTTTCTCTTCTTGCACCTAAAGCACAATTTAAAAAAAAAAAAAAAATAGCCTTTCTCTTAGCAGGTGTGTCCTTGCCCTGGGCTTGCAGTTTTAGATATTAATCAGGCTGGGAGGGCCACAGGAATGACTGGTCCTTGAGGAGCAGTACAAAGGATTACCCATACTGGGGAGGGGCTGGGGAGCACTTACCTGGAGATAAGATGGTATTATAAAGTCTTAGTTGTACATCCTATTATCTGCATAGCTTGGGGCATGTTACCTAACCTTTCTGAAATCCTGAGGCAGACTAGGAATATTTACTAGGAAACTGTGATATATATGAAAGTGCATAACACAACATAGACCTTAAAGAGAGATTTGTTTCCTTCTTTCCCAATACTTCTTGGCAGTTTTGCCAAATACACACTAAAAGCTACTAGTGACTAATTCAGAGAAATAAGAGCCACAGATAGGAGGCCTTGAGGTTTGAAGCCCCTCAGAAATCCCAGTGAGTGCTTATCCAGTCACTGTTTAAGCTTTTCTAGAGAAAGGGGAGTCACCACTTCCCAAAGATGTATCGTTTAAGGAGAGCTCTGAGCACTAAGCTTTTCTTAAAAGCTTGTCTGGGTACTTCAGGATGATGGAGAGATTTATGAGCATCGTCTGATAGCACATTCCCATCATAACCATTTCAACGGGGTAGGAACTCCTGTCTGTAAGGAGAGGCGCAAGGGCCAGTCTCCAGGTCTGCCACTGAACTCTGTGATCTTTGTCGAGCTGTTTCCCTAGTGGGATTAGTCTCATTTGTAAAATGATAGGCTAGATTTCTGTTATTTTTTCCCTTTTATGAATATACCAATCTTTTCCACAAAAGACTGTAACATCTTTATAAACTCTCAAGAGAGACATTAAGACAAATTTCAGATGTACTCTGAAAATAAGTTTCATTCTCTAATACATAGTTCTTTGTTTGGATTTTGCTATCCGTTTAAGACGTTTTAGAAAATATAAAACCTGCCTTTTACTAAGAACCCAGTCTTTATTTGCTGTGACAGAAGAGGTCACAGCATTTAACCTTTTTAGAATTTTCAGATTTCTTCCAATTCTGAAAACGAAAAATTTTAACACCTTGTTTCCAAAGTTGGGATTGTGGTCACTTTCCTCACTTTCTTCATTAATACTGACAGGCTCTTTTATTTTCTTATTTATTTATTTTTATAGTGCTTTAGGTGCAAGTTTACAAAGCAGAGTTTGTTTTATGTTCAACATTTAGTGTACATTTGGTTTCACTCTCCAGTTATCATCCCCAACCCTAACCCCTCACTGCCCAGTAACCCCAAACCCCCACTCCCCCATTCTCCGCCCCTCATTGTTATGAACTCCTGTGTGTCCTGCATTTCCTCCGTGCCTGCAAATGTTGCCCCTCTGGTGCCCCGTGATCAATTGCTCCAAGGGATGCATTTCCATAGCGTATGTGGTGCATCACCCTGGGTTGGGTGGTCTGCATGTACATCTTGTTTACTATTGGGCTGAGAGCCAACCCCTGGGAGTAAATTTTATTCCAGGCCCCCAAGTGTATCCCAGGGCCATACTGACAGGCTCTTTTATTAGTTTGTTTTGGTCAAGTCTCATTCTTGCTAAACCATCTATTTCAATGAAGGACAGGAGAAATATTTTCTACAGTGCAGCAATGAATTTGGATCAATCACTAAGGAAAGGAAGGGTGGAAGGTGCTTTGGAGAATCTCAAATTAATTTTGCAACATTTCCAATATTCTCTCCACTTCTTTTTCTGTCCCTTCCTGGTCATCCTCCTCTACTTCCAACTATGCAGGTACTGGCTCTTGGACATTGTTTTTTCTGCAGTTCGGGTGGACAGTTTGGCAAGGAGGCTCTGTCTTGAAAAAACCCCAAATAGAATGCAAAGTTGCGGAAGATCTCTCTTCAAAAATTACACATGCCTGTCTAGTAGTATTCCAAAGGTCATCAGATGAGGGGCGGTCTTAGAAAAGAAATCAAGGCATGGTGTTACACCAAATGATTTAGAAGACATTTCATTTGCTTTCTCTACATAACTGAAAGCAGGGCGCTTCATTAAATAGCTCGCTAACTTCAAGTGCCTCAGTTAATCTGTCGTTTGGCGAACTGGGCATAATTCCACTGGAAATTTTCCATAAACTGCGGGTATTGGCGACAGACACCCGGTTCCTCTCATCTTTGTCTTCAGGGTCTGCAGCAGTGACTGCAACGGGCCTATCCCTCTCTTGGCTCATGTGTCCCCTCTTCAAAATCCACTGGCTCATTCTCCGTCTCCCCCGCGGGGTAGTAAGTAGCCTCCTCGAATTGCGAATTGCGGGCGAATCCCATGCAGTAACTGCCGAGAATTAAATCCCGGCTCCTTCTCGGAGAAGCCGCAGAACTCGATAACTATTGTGCAGTTAAACCGCCGCCAGGGCACTTCCCGGAAGAAAGGAAATGCAGGGCTAGGCGCTTGCGCACTCCGCAGTTGCACCCTCGTGGGTTG